TGAGGTGTGTGTGGTTGAAGGTGAAGGCGTGTGTGGGTGAGGGTGTGTGTGGTTGAAGGTGAGGGTGTGTGTGGTTGAAGGTGAGGGTGTGTGTGATGAGGGTGTGTGTGTGTGAGGTGTGTGTGGTTGAAGGTGAAGGCGTGTGTGGGTAAGGGTGTGTGTGGTTGAAGGTGAGAAGGTGAGGGTGTGTGTGGGTAAGGGTGTGTGTGGTTGAAGGTGAAGGCGTGTGTGGGTAAGGGTGTGTGTGGTTGAAGGTGAAGGCGTGTGTGGGTAAGGGTGTGTGTGGTTGAAGGTGAAGGCGTGTGTGGGTAAGGGTGTGTGTGGTTGAAGGTGAGGGTGTGTGTGGGTGAGGGTTAGGGTGTGTGTGGGTGAGGGTGTGTGTGGGTGAGAGTGTGTGACTGTGTGTGGGTGAGGTATGTGTGAGGGTGAGGGTGTGTGTGATGAGGGTGTGTGTGGATGAAGGTGAGGGTGTGATTGAAGGTCAGGGTGTGTGTGTGCACGTTGGCGGGGCGGCACAGGCGAGCGATGTGCAAAGTTCGGCGTCGTCGCGGTTGTAGTGTTCGGGGATAAGGATTTTTTCAGCGAATGCTCGGTTTTACGGGTTTTTTCAGCTGTTAAGAAAAACTGCAGGGTCATTGCTGATTTGATGAGAAAATATAAGCTGGGGTGGGGTAACAACACCTTATTATAAATTTGAGGTAAAAATAAAGCTACGTCGCATTTGAATATAAATGTGAATCATTATGAAATCGGACATCCCATCGCACCGTCAGGGAGACGCTTGGTTACTACAGAGTGATAAAGTTTGGAGTGTGCACCTGCAGCACGCAATATTAGTTGTCGCAATTTTTCGTTCAGTTAGGATTTTACCATTTTTTTCTGAGTATTTTTACCCAGTGTCTGATTAAATGACTAGAGCAGTTTAAGTACAGGGGTTCGTGATGTGATCCCACTGAATCTAAATTAAGACGGTGGAAACCTCGGATCCAATCCTTTTTGTCATCATTCGAAACTAACTGTCTTTGACTAGTCTACTAATTTCTGTGAAGATGTAGCATGAAGCCGCGCGCGTGCACGGTGACCTCTGACCTGGTTCTGACGTCACTGTTTCTCTTCAGCATCATCACGTCGGTGAGGGAGACGTGTGCGGATTGGCTCAAAAGCGAGGAGCCGAAAAACGATCCGGCCATGCGTGGCAAGAAGGATCCCGACCAAGGCTTTGAGATCAAAGTTCCGCGCAGGAACGTAGGACCATCCAGCACGCAGGTACGACGCTACAACCACTACTGAGAGTTGAGTTCCCGCATGTGATCTCGTTATGTCGTTCCGAATTGATCTGTGATTCAAGTGTAACATCATCACCTCTATGTGAAACTCAGTGGCACGTCATCAGTACGCGTGAGCGTCTCTCAAACTATTACCTTCACTTTATTATATGCCACAGCAGTGTATTTATCATGCATTCAAACGCAGCTTCTTAAATATACTTTATTTATGTTTGTAAGGCTGACCTAAGTGAAACCCAAAAATTTCCCTTTATAGACAGGCGCCCACTCTATACAGTATACATGCTATAGTCAGTATTACATGCTATAACATGTATAATAGAGGTTGTTTCACGTATATCTGTCACTCAAGAGAAAACCCATACGTGTTCTTCATAGACAGGTGGCCGTTGTATAGACGACGTGTCGCGTATCACTAGTTTGACTGTGGGTTGAAGTGGGTTCGTCATGTTGCGATCGACGGCTTGCAATTTTTCTCACCTCGTGTAGCTGTACATGGTGCGCACCATGCTGGAGTCTCTGATCGCGGACAAGAGCGGTGGTAAGAAGACTCTGCGTAAGGACATCGACGGGCCGCATCTCATGGCGATAGACGCGTTCCACAAGCAGTCGTTCTACTGGCCTTATCTTCTCAACTTCAGTAGTAGGTTCTGCTTAGTCGCGAGTGCACGTGTGCACGTTCTCATGGGGAGTACTGGTCGTGCGTGGATTTTATGGTAGACGTGTAAAGCTGCCTGCTTAATTCCTCAAAATATGTAAAAATATTTATATACAGTATATATTATACTCAAATATTTCTGTAACTTGACACAATTATTCTTCCTATATTTCCTTTGATTGAGCCAAATATTTTTCATATATTTCCTATATTGCCACAAATATTTTCCTGATATTTCCTGTATTTGACCCAAATTCTTCTCGAAGCTAGTGGATGGAATGTATGCTTCAGTGAATACAATATTGTAACCACTGAATGACTTTTATAGATTGTATTGACTACACTACATATAATATGGATTTTGTGTGTGATTACGTCACACTAATGTTTGATTTTGTAAACTGTAAAAGTATCAAATTAAATAATCGAGTCTGTTAAAGATCTTTACGGCTTCAATGAGTTATCTGTGCAAAGTTATTTATGACAGAAATTTTGTGCAGATACCCTTCAGGACAGCTGTGACCTGTCTCAGCTGTGGTACAGGGAGTTTTTCCTCGAAATGACCATGGGTAGAAAAATTCAGGTACGTACCCTACAAGTAGCCTCGGATGCAGCACACCTGTTAACGAATGCATGGCTTCATCAGATGTTTACTACATACGTAATGTGGTCAGGTGTGTTAATATGAATTGCACATGTATTTAAAAAATTTTCGACTATTTTGCTATATTTGTTTATTAGGCAATTGGCATTCTTCTGCTGTATTGTGAAGTCTTTAATTTCTATTCGTCACGTCTCTTGTATAATATACACCCACCAATGGAAAAAACGTTATGGTGAACCACATGAACGATATATTAGACAATATTAGCCAGTGCATGCTCAAGTACAAGTCTCCCTTGTTTACTCACCTTAGACACATTATAATGCCTAACAGTTTCATCCATTTTCAGTCGGCTGCTGCATGACTGAATGTTTCCTCGTGCTTTATTAACAGTTTTTTGGTCAGCCTGCGCATATTATGCATCTCACATGCAATACACCGGGACACACATCTCTCTCATCATCATTATTGAATGTGTGATCTCATAAATGTCATGAGAAAAAATGTCAGGGTAAAAAATTCATTGCTAATAATAGTCTCCTCTAAAATCTTGATGGCAAAATGTAAAAACGATGTTGATTGTTATTAAATTACCAATTGTTTGTATTCACATCTATTTTGCCATTCTACCAAATTTCCATTTATTTTCTGTTACCACTGGTATGCAGGCTTAATTTAATTGACCAGATGACTGGGCTCAGGTTAGGATATTTTTACAGTAAAATAGAATATAAAAAATTGGTTTTATTTACCACGTTTGCTAATCCCTTCCATTTCGCACCCATTCTGCTCCATGGCAGAGAATTTACATATGTACATGTGGTAAACTGATAAGATTCGTTTTGTCAGGCGAGAATTATTACATGTACATTGCTGATGACTGCACTGTACCAGAGCTGCATGGTGTGTGTGCTTTATTTCCCCAGTGCAACATTGATCACCAGCATAATGAGAAGTGCAATGAGATTTTCTCCATGGAGAAACGCATCCAGGTGATACAACATTTTGCCATCTTCGATCTGGTAGTGGCGCGTTTATTGCTTGCCGATTGGTAAACAGTCTTGGTGGTAGCAGTCTTAGCAGTAGCGACAGAGGACTGTGAAACTTGACGCTGCTATCTTTATGGTGTTGGCAGAACGTGCGTGTTGTGCATTTGTGTTACAATGTCACATGGTGATCGTAGAATCTTTGTTTAGTTAATAAGGAGTTGACTAAGAAGGATAACTTAAGCTTAATTTAGATAAATTTTAGCCTGATCCAATATATAATGAATTTTTAGTTGATGCATTTTAATGTAACCTTGATCAGGGGTCGTATATTGCACTTTAAATTATCCAATAGCATTCTATATTATTATACATTTTTATTTGTCCTATACTAATTTACAACTAGTTTGTCAGAGTTGTTCGTAAAATGTAGATGAGATTTTATTTTATAGAAGTTTAGTCAGATCCATGTAGTAGAGGCGGCATGCCCTAAGTTATTGTGCTTCGTGATATATCTTGAAACCATGCTGTTGAAGCATTAGTGATAGTTAGGTAGTACAGTTAATTACGATAGGTGAGGAGAAGGAAAAATCATGATGTGCATTTAGCCAGCTGTACCGTTTATCTTTCTCTAGCTTCGTATGTGTACGCATGTGTGGTGCCTTTCATGCTATCCTTAGATATTCTCAAAGGGTTTCTTTCCATAGTGATTCTTTGTCGGGTTTCACCTCCTACTGTTTTCCCTTGTGTACTTTTAGTGTGTTTAACCTTTTTCCAGAATCCACAGGTGCTTAAAAATTCTCTCAGATGCATGTAGACGATGTGTGGGTACTATCATGAATATGTGTGTTTGCTTGTGCATGCCTGTGTACGTATGCGTTCGTGTGTGATATTGACTATACATAGCTTCACGAGTTGGTGTGTTCTTCTATGTTTCTGTGCTTGCATGTTAGTCTGACTGTAGTGGTTTACTACGTGGAGGTCTGATCATTGGTGCATCATGTCTAGTAAATCAATGTGCATCCCACATCAAACGTGTTTATCGTGAGTTGCTGCATGTGTGATTCGTAGATATGAACACTTGCACAGTGTCGTCACCGCCACGACAATTTGCCGAGATGAAACCATAGAGATTCTTCTAATCATTCATGTTATATAGCCTTCTCTGAGATCAATACTCGTTATTTACATTTTTGAAAATTCTATATTGCCTGTGGTTTGCATTACTGAGATAGCATTATTGTAATATGGGATTCACGAATACACATGTTCGTTTTAAGTTTGTCCTAATCCCAGAAACTTGTGTTGTTGTGTTCGTTCTAGTTTCCAATCGAGATGTCCATGCCGTGGATACTCACTGATCACATTCTGAGGACAAAGGATCCATCGATGATGGAGTAGGTCACATCTCTTACAACCTTTTTTTGCACATATACAACAACAAAATATAATCAATTATATCTAATATATATTTAATAAATGTATATATATATAACTAATAGAGCTATTATATATATATATATAATAGCTCTATTAGTGTGCTTATATTAAATAGTGTGTGAATCATAGCTATCATGTTTAGGTGCACAGCCTAGGTTTTCTAGTATTTCTCATGTCGGGTGAGAGGTGGAGCATGGTCAGCATTCTCACCGGGCCTTTGATGCATATTAGATCCAACATGGTTTCAAGGCTGAAGCTAATTTCCGACATGCCTACAAATCCTCTGATATGCCTCAATTACTTAATCGACACGCCTTAACTTAAACAGCTGTGTTAAATCTTGACAATCCCAACATAGTCGTGCTATGTTTTCACACCTCGATGTACACGGCTCCGAAATGATCGAGTTTATCTGTGTATTGGGGCCGCTTACGACGCTCGTAATCGACTCCAGTTACCAATTTGGGATGAATTACCCGATTGCCCATGGCGTGCTTTAGGAGAGTGCTCTTAAACTGTTTCAGTGTCATTCACTCTCGAGTCTTTATCACAAAATTTCATTTAGCCGCGACTATATTTCCTTTATGTTTTTGGTAAGTTTCATTCACCCTTGGGTGAACCATTCACCAGTTTAAATTGACTACGTCACGAATTTTCTATGGTAAAATTTGTAAAAAAAATGCCCATTTTTTTTACATTAAAAGTAAGAACTTAAGCAGTTACTCAATATGAATTCCTCAAAACTCTGCACCTGATAAAAATTTTGCTTTTTCGATTGGTTAAATTTGCCCAAAAAAATGCTAGTCGATTTGGTAATCTTCTGCTTGTATAACAAGCTATGTCCCCCATACTGTTCAAGATTACTGGCAGTCCTCTCGTTTTTTTCACAACCGGCAAGATAGGCAATAAAGCAAGGTGGATTAAATTTAGTAAAAAAAGCCAGGAAAATCCCGGGTTTTGTCATTTTACGGGAAAACATATTACACATGTCAAAGTAAGAAGCGGCTACTTAAATTGTAAGTTTTCTAATAGATCATATCTTCCAATTTACTCTGGTTAAGTACATAAGTATATTCTAGCGACTAAAGCAAAGGAACAGTTTTGCTACCGTCGAAGCCGGTCTCGTTGAGAGACGTCCACGGATATTATGATAATTTGACATTAGCGACATTATATATAGAATGCACACTGAGCATTTAGTATGAAGTGACGAGAATACTGGGAACATGTGAATAGACGATGAGAATAGAAGGGTTAGGTTGAGCGGATTCATCCAACTAGTCAGGTGGTGATGCCCACTGGTTACACATATAAAACTGCTCTACCCGCTGGACCTGTATAACGACAGCGCGCACTACGCGCTCACAAAGTTCCGTAAGCAGTTTCTCTACGATGAGGTGGAGGCTGAGGTGAACCTCTGCTTTGATCAGTTTGTCTACAAGCTGAGCGATCAGATATTCAGCTACTACAAGAACCTCGCAGGAAGGTAGGATCGACTTGCGCGCTGGCCTCGTTATTACCCTTTAAATTAATTAATTAAAGAAATGTTAATTTAGTGTTTTTTTCACTTTATTTTTTATTTTTTTATTGTATTTTTTAGTATTGTCTATTTGAGTTCATCTTTTTGTTTTTTTCTCTTTTTATTGTGCTATTAAAGTCGTGATTTCATTGTATTAGCGGAGCATTTTACCTGGCTTTTTCACAATTTTTTTATCAATCCATAACTCCACTCCCCATAGTTCTCCACCCAGAACGCCCCATGGTTCCACTGTGGAGCTCCCCCGTAGTTCCCCGTCCGGGATTCGTCTCGCTAACGATCCCGCTCTCCCGCTCTCTTCCCGGCAGCATCCTCCTGGACAAGCGCTTCCGTGCGGAGTGCACGCGCTTCGGCACGACGATCCCGTTTCCGGCGGCGAACCGCTATGAGACGCTGCTCAAGCAGCGGCACGTGCAGCTGCTGGGTCGCTCGATCGACCTCAACAAGCTGATCACGCAGCGGCTGAGCCTCCGCACTGCAAGAAGTCACTTCGACCTCGGCCATCAGCCGCTTCGAGGCGGGAGACCTCACCGGCATCGTGGTGAGTGCTGCGCGCGTGTCGTGCAGGTGGTGGGTGCGTGCGGGTGTGGATGTGTGTGTGTGTGTGTGTGTGTGTGCGTGCGTGCGTGCGTGCGTCGCGTGTGTGGCTTGCGTGCGGCGTGCTGCGTGCGTGCGTGCGAGTACGTACGTAGGTGCGTGCGTGCGTACGTGGGTGCATGCGTGCGTGGGTGCGTGCCATACGTGGGTGCGATGCGTGCGTGCATGCCAGTGCGTGCTTGCATGGGTGCATGCGTGGCGTGGGGCGTGCGTGCGTGTGCGTGCGTGCGTGGGTGCGTGCATACGTGCGTGCGTGCGTGCGTGCGTGCGTGCTTGCATGGGTGCGTGCTTGCGTGGGTGCGTGCGTGCGTGCAGGTGTAGGTGCATGTGTGCGTGTGCCCCCGTGCTGCTGCTTTACTGCTCTGTAGACCCTGTACTCTTTTCACTGATGATGGCACAGATGCTGGCCGCGAGGGTCCTAACAGCGTTGACTCTCAGTGTGTATTTTCCACGTGTGTGTGTAGGAGCTCAAGGTACTAACGTGGACTGTCATGTGCTGTATTCCACGCTGTGTGTGTAGGAGCTCAGGGTCTAACAGTGTGACTTCATGTGTGTATTTTTAACGTGTGTCGTGTAGGAGCTCAAGGTCTTAACAGTGTGACTCCATGTGTGTATTACCACGTGTGTGTGTAGGAGCTCTCGAGGGTGCCTAAACGGTGTGACTTCATGTGTGTATTCCCAACCAGTTGGGGTTTTGTGGTGTAGGAGCTCGAGAGGTCTAACAGCGTGACTTCAAATGTGTGTATTTTACGTGTGTGTAGGAGCTCGAGGGTCTAACAGCGTGACTTCATGTGTGTATTCCACGTGTGTGTGTAGGAGCTCAAGGGTCTAACAGTGTGACTTCATGTGTGTATTCCACGTGTGTGTGTAGGAGCTCAAAGGGTATCTAAACAAGTGTGAGCTTCATGATGTGTATTCCAGCGTGTGTGTGTAGGAGCTGCAGGTCTAACAGTGTGACTTCAATGTGTGTATCCACGTGTGTGTGTAGGACTGCAAGGTCCTAACAGTGTGACTGTCAAATGTGTGTATTCCACGTGTGTGTGTAGGAGCTCAAGGGTCTAACAGTGTGACTTCATGTGTGTATTTTACATGTGTGTGTAGGAGCTCAAGGGTCTAACAGCGTGACTTCATGTGTGTATTTTACGTGTGTGTGTAGGAGCTCAAGGGTCTAACAGCGTGACTCATGCGTGTATTCCACGTGTGTGTGTAGGAGCTCAAGGGTCTAACGGTGTGACTTCATGTGTGTATTTTACGTGTGTGTAGGAGCAAGAGGGTCTAACAGCGTGACTTTCATGTGCTGTCTTCCACCGTGTTGTAGGAGCTCAAAGGGTCTCAGCGTGAACCTTATCGTGTGTATTCAACGTGGTTGTGTGTAGGAGCTGCAAGGGTCTAACGTGCTGACTTCATGTTGTATTCCACGTGTGTGTGTAGAAGCTCAAAGGGTCTAACCGGCGTTACTTCAATGTGTGTATTTTAACATGTGTGTGGACCAAGGTCTAACGGTGTGACTTCATGTGTGTCTTCCACGTGTGTGTAGAAGCTCAAGAGTCTAACGGTGTGACTTCATGTGTGTCTTCCACGTGTGTGTAGAAGCCTCAAGAGTCTAACGGTGTGACTTCATGTGTGTATTCCACGTGTGTGTGTAGGAGCTCAAGGGTCTAACGGTGTGACTTCATGTGTGTATTC